ACGCAGGTATGGGATTCAGCGCGATCCATGCGCCACACGCAAATCTAGAAGAATCATATATACCATTACGGTTACTGCTACTAAAGCTGAGGAAAACAAATTGACGGTCACTCAACGAGCAGTGAAGCAAAAAATATTCAAGGTGTCCGTCCAGGATCCCGCTCCGACAACGGACAGGATAAACAGGCATAATTTCTGCCTGCTGATCGTGTAACTCGCCTGAGAGACAATCTGGGTTCCGCTTGACCACCGAAATCTAGTGGAAGCGGACATGATCTAACGGAGGTGGAGGCAGAAAGCGAAAAATTGAGAATGCTCGCGGTGTATCGACTTGTTTTCATGGAGCACCCTTACCGACGACAGGTCTTATAATGGACGATTATAGTTAACCGGACATCACTTCCTCTCTATCTAGAGAAATTAATAATATTTTAACGGAAGTCGAAAATCGTATAAGAGCAAATATCACCTGCTCTTTTCCTGTGTCAGGCGATCATAAACGTGACGAGAGGCTCACTGGGCGCACTCTCTCGACAGCGCCAACGGAAGACCTTTCAGGGGCTGATCGCCCCGTAAACTTTCCTCGCCTTTTTTAAACAGAGCACCTAACATCGCCTCGCCTTGAGATGCACACCACTGAGCTTGTCTTTCAAGAGGAGGATTGAAAACATGGGAAAAGTCTGTAAAAACATTTGTCCCGGGCGTTGAAATGTTCCGAATCGCATTGAGAATGGCTGACAGAGGAGACACACCGGATGTCATTACGTTAAATGCTGATGATTGAAAAAAACTTTTAGATCTTCAAAGAATCCGCAACTACTGAATTTCAATATTTGCTAGATGTCACACTTAAATAAACTGGCACTTGAATGGTTCCAGACAAAACGAATCAGATGGATGATAGTCTTTATTATAGTCTGTGAAATTTTGGCCAACATTCGCCGTCTTTGGGGCAAACAGTTCGGATTGTTGTTCCGTTGGAAGAAGACACAGAAACGAAACGGAAACGAAAATTATTATTGTTATTCTTTTCTAACACCCGGAGCGGATTTAAATGACAAAAACGCACCGCCCCTTGGCTTAAGTCGATTAAGAGGATGATTTAAGTAGTTCATGTCTTCATGACGCTGCGTGTTTCTCTGAGTTGAGGTATGTTCGAGCACCAGCGGAATTTGTCACAATTCTCAGACAAATAGATGGACAAAATCAGACGTATATAATACTGATATTTTGGAATGTTCCAATTCCACCGGTATGTTTCAGAAACACGGTGATTTTTACAGTGCAACTCCAGTTTCATTAACCGAAGTGTAATATTTATTAACCAGGGAAATTGGTAAGCTGATGTTTGCTTTTTGAGAGGTCATAGGTCGATTTTCCAAATCTTGTGCGGTAAGGATTTTTAATTGAAGCTTATTTCTGAAAGTTGTCTGTCCAGAACCGTCCATTTTTTGTGACCTCGTCCCAGCGGCCATCATCCTGAATTTTGAGAGTAATATCATTATGGAAGGAGTTCAGAATGTAGATTTGGATTCATACTGACGATGGCTTCCAACCGTTTTTCTCACAGCTCTAATCTGTAAGTCATAGTCAGAATGTTCTGCAGAGTAGCTCCAAATTTACCACTTTTTGCCACTAGTTTAGGTTGAAGTCATTGACTTCATGATTAGCATTTTTGACCGTCGTGGACATCCTGATTACAGCTTTGTATCACTGATAAACACGATATTTTCTAATATGCAAATATTTCTAATATTCTAGCTTTATCACATTAATATCGAACACATATTCGTGGTGTTCAGAACCGACATGCAGACGCAATTAGCGAATGCCATACATTTACCGCTGTATCGCTGGATAAACATGGCTCATATTTCTCGTTTTCTACAAATACAAACGAAAATAGAAAAACTGCATGAAAGATTGATGATCAATAACTACCTCATATGAAAAGATAACAATTTGACGGTGTTTCGTATAGTAAGGCTAAACGGTTGGCATATATTAAACTTATGTTTTCATCTCATGCAAGTAATTGGTCAGATGTAATAGGATCAAGGTGCTCTATTACAGTATTTAAAGTGCAAACGTGCTGAATAGCGTGAACGTAGGTACCCTAGCTGAAGCATAATGACATCAGGGCATTTTGCTCTTTTTTAAATCCTCGCAGTTTAAACTTATCGGTTAATTTCTAACGAAGGCTTAGCACAAAATTTAAAGTATTTTTTACACCTGTCACCCAAACTAAAAAACCAAGCATTCTGTAGCATTCTTTCCATCTATGACGTGCACGGCTACACCGCTGATAAGAATAATGGAATGATGCAATTCATGAGAGGATCGTCCCAAGTAATAACAACGGGTGGTCCGTCAGTTCAAGATATTATTTGATACTTCTGAGGGGCCTTAAGTACGTCGATGACATCGCCCTGTAAAGTGATTTGACGCTTGGCCCGGCACTGAACGAAAGCATGAATATCGCTTTGGAGTGGTGCTGCAGTCCAACCACAAGAAGACCAAGGTTGTGAGGGTAGCTGACGAGATCGCCACTCCGAGTACTGTAGTGTGTAACATTAAGATGGACGAAGTGGACGAACTCGGAGGTACCTCGGAAATATTAAAGGGGTAGCTAGCTATGGAGTCACTGGTGCAGAGGTGAACATATGCACTAAATAATATCTGAAAGCTGTGCGACATATGGCACCATCGAACCGTAGGAAAGGATACGAAGGTCACCGTCCTGGAAGCCGGTGTACTCACAGTACTCATGCACAGTATGGAAACGGGTACTCTCCGGAAACGCCATGAAGCGTAGTTTTACAGCTTTTAAAAGCACGACGGTGCTCTCCGGCAGCGAGGCAGAAGTTGCTGACAAACTCAGGGTTGAAGTAAGCATCAGACGAACTCAGAGGTCGGCGCTTCGTTAGGTTTTTGATAAAGCAAACCGAAAGCTAAACGTATAAAGGATTATTCTCCGAAGTTTCGTCGGAACCGGTTTCTGGTTGCATGCCTGTTTGTGATGGTAAATATGACGTGTGCCGCAGCAACGTATTTACCGAATGTTAATCCCAAACACTGTGTCTAACGGCTAGATATCACAAATCCGGGTTAATGTGCTGTTTTTTATGTTTTGTTAACTTTAGACGGCGATAACAAAGCGAAACAACCCGATAACCGTAGAGGACTTTCACATTTTGCACGGAACTTCAAATCCGCTGTATCACATATACGTTGTCTCAGTTGTCGTAGGTCAGAGCTGAGGTCAGTCAGCATCCAGATGTGATCACACTAAGTTTGCAAAATACAAAATACAGTGATCACCACCGAAGTGAAATGCAGGTATAAAATTGTTTAAGACACGTAGCCTAGCTGTTCAATGATATATGCTAACGAAGTCTACCTTGTTGATAGCGAAATCTGCAGACTAAGAAAAAAACGGTTCCGTGTGCTTTAGTATTTGCTGCTGCGCTTATAGATGTGAGTCATCCGAACATGCACAGTAATACCTTCCGTGCAAAATGGAACATGAGCGGAACTGGCAAAAGCGGTTGGAGGAAAATACCCTACCTAAACACTGAGGTAACAGTAAGCGATTCACAACAGCCACCATTCCAGATCCTCGAAGAATATTTATGAGATCCAGATCGAACGCGCAGGTTTCACATGACTGACCACCTGCCAACTTGTTGTAAGAGTGTGGGGGTGATCACATGCTGTTCGCATAGTGTTCAGTCGTTACATGTTGACAGCAAAGGCCACGTCAGAAATCTACGAGTAGTCAGGCTGACTTAGAGAAGTTGGTGCCCGCCGACAACTTTGTATTCTGGTGATTCTCCAAAGCTCATATCCAGATCGCTGTGCACTTGAAAGGTCAGTGGAAGGGAGTGGTATCGCCAGCAAG